GTAGTTGAGAAACCCAACTCACTACGGTTCCTCCTAAAGTATAGACATACCATGTAGTGCTCATTCTGTTGTCAACATTTCCGGCTAAGTCAGCATCTACATAGCCTGTCAGTATCATATCTCTACATTTGAAACAAAGTGTTTTGTTTGTGGTACCCCGCAGATATCTGAGGATCCATTTGACTGCTTCCCAGTGTACCTTGCCCGGATTATTCATGTACCTGCTAACAGCTCCCACTGCTTGAGCAATATCTGGTCTGGTACAAACCATGGCATACATCAGACTTCCAATTGCTGAGGCATACGGCACCTTCACCATGTGTGCATGTTCTTCCTCCGTCTTTGGTGACTGTTCTTTGGAGAGTCTGAAATGAACACCTAAAGGTGTACTTACTGGTTTAGTATCTTGCATGTTGAACCTGGAGAGTACTTTGTTGATGTACTCAGTATGTGATAATATCAAAGTCCCCGACTTTGTGTCTCTCTTGATCCTCATCCCAAGAATCTGCTTTGCAGCGCCCAGATCCTTCATAGCAAACTGCTTCGACAATTTTTGCTTCAAGTTTACAATCTCTTACATGTCTAAGCCTGCAACGAGCATGTCATCAACGTACAACAATAAAATAATGAAGCTATTGTCGAACCTCTTGATGTAGCAACAATGATCTGCTTGGCATCTGGTAAAACCATTGCTACCCATGAAGCTATCGAACTTCTTGTACCACTGTCTAAGAGCTTGTTTTAAACCATACAAGCTCTTCTTCAACCTTCATACCAGGTTCTTCTTGCCTGCCTCTATGAAGCCTTCTGGCTGCCTCATATATATTTCTTCTTCCAAATCACCATGAAGGAAAACTGTCTTCACATCTAACTGCTCAAGATGTAAATTCTCGGCAGCTACAATTTTTAACACCAGTCTAATTGTAGATAGTTTCACGACTTGAGAGAAAATTTCATTGTAGTCAATACATTCTTTTTGCTAAAAGCCTTTGACAACCAATTTTGCTTTGTAGCGTTTGCTCCCATCATGCTCTTCTTTGATCCTATAAATCCACTTGTTATGGAGTGCTTTCTTGCCTGGTGATAATTCTGCTAATTCCCACGTCTGATTTGACATAAGCGAGTCTATCTCATCTTTCATGGAAGACTCCCACTTGACTGAATCCTCCACTTGCATTGCTTCATCATAGCACTCTGGTTCACCATTGTCAGACAACAACAAGTAGTGCAAAGAAGGAGAATATCGTTGGGTTGGTTTAGGAATTCTGGAGGAACGTCTCAGTTCTGGTGTGACTGGTTCTTCTTGAACTGTTTCAGGAGCGATCTGAACATCAATACCAGAAATATCCTCAAACTCAACAAATTCCTTTGTTTCAGCTTCGGTGTTGGAGCTACTTGGTTCCATGGTTGACCTATATTTGTACATCACATTCTCATTGAAAATGACATCTCTGCTTATGATGATCTTCCGATTTTCATAGTCCCAAAATCAGTAACCGAACTCATCACCACCATAACCAACAAAGACACATTTGTTGGACTTGACATCAAGTTTACTTCTTTCAGCAGAGTTTATGTGTACATAAAAAATACAACCAAACACTCTAAAGTGTGAAAGGTTTATTTCTTTCTTGCTCCAAACTTCCTCTGGTATTCTGTCATCCAAAGGAATCGAGGGCCCACGGTTGATCAAGTAAGCTACAGTGTTGATAGCTTCAGCCCATAGAAATTTGGGCAATCCGGCATGTATCCTCATGCTTCTGGCATGTTCATTCAGAGTTTTGTTCATGCGCTCTGCTACGCCATTCTGCTGAGGTGTCATGGGAACTGTTGTCTCCATCTTGATCCCATTGTTTGCTCAGAAATCTCTGAATCTACGATTTCTGTACTCTCCTCCATTGTCAATCCTCAACCGCTTGACTTTCAGACCAGTCTCATTTTCCACCATGGCCTTCCATTTTCTGAAGGTATTAAAGACTTCTGATTTCTTCTTCAGAAAATAAACCCACACCTTCCTTGTAGAATCATCTATGAAGGTGACATAATATAATGAGCCTGCAAAGCTGAACTAACTCTAACTTTTCAGCCTTGGAGATGGTCCCCATACATCAGTATGAACTAACTCTAACTTTTCAGCCTTGGGTGTCTTACCAATCTTTGCAAAGCTGACTTTCTTTTGTTTGCCAAAGATGCAATCCTCGCATAGTTCGACATCTACATTCTTTAGATCCGGCAACTTCCCCTTTGATAAAAGTGTCTTCATCCCTTTCTCGCTCATATGGCCAAGCCTTTGGTACCATAGGTTTGATTTTCCATCAGCATATGTTACTGCAATGATATTCTCTAAATTTGAGGTTATATAGAGAGTACCAGTTTTCTTACCACGAGCAATGACGAGTGCTCCTTTAGTAGTCTTTCATTCACAGCCTGAAAAGGTTGTGCTAAATCCTTCACCATCAAGCTGTCCTACAGAAATCAAATTTCTTTTGAGGCTAGGAATATGTCTCACTGTTTTCAGCGTCCAGGTGGTCTGGTTTGGCAACTTTAATCGGATGTCTCCTTTTTTGACGATCTTCAAGGTTTCATCATCGGCTAGATGAACCTTCCCAAAATCACCACTGACATAGTTCTCCATGATTTCTCGGCATGGGGTGGAGTGGAAAGATGCCCCTGAATCCAAGATCCATGATTCAATCAGAGTGTTTACGCTTAAAATCATGGCATCACCTGTCTCCTCTGTCATATTGGCAGATTCTTGTGCACCGGTATCTTTCTTCAGTGCTCGACAATCTCTTTTAAAGTGACCCTTCTTGCCACAATTATAACAGGTAAAATCTTTCTTTCCTGTTATTGATTTGCCCCTTCTGGATTTTGATCTGCCACGATTTGAATTTCTTTATGAAGTTCTCCCTCTGGACTCCGTGTGCAAGGCTGAGGAGGTTGATGTTTCACCCGATTCTCTCCGTCGAATTTCTTCGCTCAGTACCACATCCCGAACATCGTCGAATTTTAATTTACTATTTCCCGACGAGCTGCTAACTGCTGTAAAAGTAGCATTCCAACTGTCTGGTAGAGATGATAAGAGAATTAAAACTCGAACATCATCATCGAATTCAATTTCCACTGAACTCAACTGAGTTGTGATTGTGTTGAGTTCATTTAGGTGTTGTGTCATTGATGCCCCTTCCGTCATCCGCAAATTGAATAATCGCCTCATCAAGTGCACTTTGTTTGAGGCTGATGGCTTCTCATACATACTGGAGAGAGCCGCCATAAGACCCGCCGTGGTCTTTTCATTTTCTATGTTGAAAGCAATATTACGGGATAACGTCAGTCGGATAACTCCGAGGGCTTGTCTATCGAGAAGAGCTCAGTCTTCATTCTCCATGCCCACTGGTTGCTTTCCTGAGAGAGGTTGATATAGATTTTTCTGGTACAAAAAATTTTCGATCTGCATCTTCCAAAAGCCAAAGTCCGCACCATCGAACTTTTCAATTTTCACATTCCCTTCGTTTGCAGCCATCGCTCCCACTCGAATCTGGTTTCGTTTGGATCGTTTCTGACTATTCTTGTGAACCACCGTGTATTAGAACACCTCCGCCGACAAACTCGTATCGCCGACAAAATTTTTACTATTCACGAAATTCACTATTCATGTGAATAGTAATGAATAGTAACCTCGTAAAAAAATTGACAAAATTCACAACCAAAAGCTCTGATGCCAGTTGTTAGGAAATAAGCTGAGTACCAGTAATTTTCCTATAACCAGATTAGTGAGAATGCGAAATAAAAGCGGAAAAATAATACCCGAAATTGATAACGAAGTTCAGCCAATTGTGCTTACGTCTCTGGACTGCTGCAGATCTTTTACTAAGAGAGAAAATTTACAGGTGTTTGCAAAACACTCACTACTCACAAGAAAACTCTCTAGTATTGGGAGAAAGGAATGATTTTTGGGATGGTTTTGAAGCTAAATGAGTTAGGGTATTTATAGTTGAAACTTAAGGACTTAATCTTGTAAATCCCTAAAGCCTAGGGATTAATTGTGATTATCCCATTATCATTTTTCAACAAACATCTACCAAACTTTAAAAATTATTTTTCAAATAAACATTTACCAAACTTTGAAAACCATTTTCAAAGAAACTTTTACCAAACTTTGAAAACCATTTTTTCAGAATTGGTTGCCAAACTTGAAAATCATTTTAGCAATACTTTCAACAATTGGTTGGTGTTTTATGATGTAGAGGAGGAAGAACAAGGATAAATGTTCATTGTAAAAGGCGCTAATCCCTTTTTTGTATCAGTTAGGAGTATTCATAATGACATTTAGTATGTGTATCATCTATAGGATCAAGATAGCTATTTGTAAGTCATTAGATTAGGAAGATTTAATTACCACACTTTGGATTTTACTCTAGTAAGACGCGTGAATCTATCAAAAGTCTTGTCTATGCTTTATAGTTAACTTGAAGGTCTATGCTTGGGAGATGTTTGATACTCGAAAAGATCCATATAAAAATTAAACCGAAAAGTTTCTAATATGAGTATAAAATTTTCTCTCTTTCATTTTTTTTCAATTAATCACTCTATTCAATATATTGATCGACTAATTTAGATTGAGTTTTGCAAATACCCATTATGGGGCGACCTTCCCAACACAATTTGCTCTATTCGAAAACGTTAAGGTTAGAACCTCTAACATTACTTAAGGAATCTAATATATTATCCTACTAAATCAACTAATTGTTAGTTGTTTTAATTTTCTTTATGCATATGATTATAAATATTTAAGAGATTTGAATATCTAAAAATAATTTAGTTATTTAAATTTAGATAACAATATTCAATTTCAATATAGATAATAAACATGTTTAGATATTTTTAATATATATATATATATATATATATATATATATATATGTACTTATGATGGATGCACGAAGCTCTGAACACCGCCTTTAGTCTTTCAACATCAAATGCAAATAAAAACTGTAGTGGCGCCGCCAGTTAACACAATGCAGCGCCGCTGTGGGTTCTCTGGGGTTATCACATTGTGTTTCCTCTTGTTGTTGGAGTGTCCAAAGGTGGCCGGTAAGGTATCCATTCCACATAATGTTACTGACCTACATTGGCATCCCGCCACCGCCACTTGGTACGGCAGTCCTAACGGTGATGGTAGCGACGGTAAGATCCCATCATTAGCTTCTGTTTTGCCTACGAGTTGGTATTGAACTATTTAAGATCTGGTTCTCAATTATGCCTTAATTATAGTTGAATTATATTTACATAATCTCTGATTTTTATTCTCAGGCGGAGCATGTGGGTACGGGTCGTTAGTCGACGTGAGGCCGCTGAAGGCCAGAGTGGGAGCGGTGAGCCCGGTGCTGTTCAAGAACGGGGAAGGCTGCGGAGCTTGCTACAAAGTTAAGTGCCTAGATAAGAACATATGCTCGAAGAAGCCCGTGACCATCATTGTAATGGACAGGAGTCCTACGGGGCCGGGAGTCATCGGCCGCACCCATTTCGACTTAAGTGGTGCGGCCTTTGGTCATATGGCTGTACGTGGTCGGAGTTCGCAGCTCAGGAACTTAGGTGAACTCCGAGTTTTGTATAGAAGGTATGTGCTCTAGTGTTTCTTTTTTAGTCTCCATACTAATGAAAATTGTAAACTGAATAATTTGTTGAATTAAAATTTTAGGACCCCATGTAAATATCCCGGGAGCGGGAAGAGTATCGCTTTCCATGTGAATTCTGGCTCAACTGGTTTCTGGCTATCTCTTCTTATAGAATTTGAGGATGGAGATGGAGATATTGGATCAATGCATATAAGAGAAGTAAGTCATAGACTTTGTGCATGTGATACATGGGCCATGCAGCACTCAAAAGTCGCATGTCATATGACATTAGCACGTGCATACTTCATTTTTTAAAATTATATAAAAACAATATCTTCTAAATATAAAAAATATAGTAAGATAAAATTAGCCTTCAACATTTGTTAAAATATCACTTTTGTTGTTATTTTTTAAAAATATTTTGAATCTCACCATTTCAATTTTTGATTAAAATAGTTCCTATTGGATCAAAATAGTTAGTTGACTAACGATCAATATATGTTGTGATGTGACATTTTTACACGCGCTTAATTACTGACATGACACATGCCATGTCACCAAAGTGATGACATATTATATATCATATCACCCAAAGTAATAATGTGATATATATCATGTTATCTAGAACCGATGATATGAAATGTGTCTCGTCATTAAAATGAATACATCACATATGACATTTAAGCAATTAAACATTGTATGTGAAAACATCACGTTAGCAACATGTGTTGACGGTTAATAAACTAACGATTTTCATCTGACATGAATTATTTTGACTAAAATTTAAAACTTTAGATTAAAATGTTTAAAAAATATGGATTAAAGTGATTATTTTGATCAACATTGAGGATTAATTTTATCATTATGCCTCTATAAAAAAATGAACAATATCTATTAGAAAAAAAGAAGAAAAAGAAATGAACAATAACCTTTGGATGTTTGCTTTGGCAGGCAAATTCTAATGAACGGCTAGAGATGAATCATCTGTGGGGAGCAAATTGGAACATAAATGGGTGACCTTTGAAGGGACCATTCTCAGTGAAACTAACAACATTATCAACAAGAAGAACACGTTCTGCAAGAGATGTCATTCCCAGGAATTGGAAGCCAAAAGCGACCTACACTTCTCGTCTTAATTTCCTCGAAGTTATTATTTCTCTTCTGTATTTGAGTACAAAAGAGGACACACTGAGCTAAAACAGTTGCTAATAATCTCCAGTTTCAAAATCAAATTATAATGAAAGAAAGAATGCCTACATATGATGTTGCAGACTTGAAATCCCATACTTTAAAAGAAAAAAAAAATGGAAAGACCGAGAAATTAAGGTTTGGCATCACTTGGAAGCATCGGGATTGGCTTTAACTTTGCTATCAACCTCAGCTGGAGATGAAGTCTCTGGTTTTGGTTGTTCAGTGCCACCATTAGCAGCAGCAGCAGCAGGTTTATTTTCTCCGGCAGACGCTGCTGTTGTTGAACCTTTGCCGTTCTTGGCGTCCTTCTCTTCCTTTGCATCTTTGCCATCTTTTTCATCTTTGGGTTCAGGCATCATATGAGGCGGAGGATTCTGTTTGAGCTTCACGAAAATTTGCCTCATTCTCGAAAGATCAGTAGGCTTTCCCGGCTTTGGACCATGAATAACCAAAACCGATGGTGTTTTATCAGGGTCTTTCCTTCCTCTCTTCTTCTCGATACTCGCCACCTCTCGAGGAATGATCTCGGCTATTGCTTTCCAGTAATGGAGGTGAGCTTCTTTGTGGAACTTCTCTTGATTAGCCAAGTATAGCTGCATCAACAATACACAAATAATAGATTCAGTTCATCCGTGTAAAGAAGCAGTGCGAAAGAATTAATGATCACAATGCTAGTTTCTTCTGCCTTCTCTCTTTCTCTGTTGTTTGCCTTATTGGTTTCACAATTCTGATTCCTTTTCTCGTAAAATGATCGTTTGTACTCATCTGCTTCGCCAATTATCCTATCTCGCATTTCTCTCTCTCTTTTCTCCTTTTCCTCAAGATGAATGGCGTTTAAGCTGCGTATAAACGAATTTAAAACAATGAACCGAATGAGAAATTTCGAAAACAAGGAAGGTAGAACGAAAACAAACCGGCGCCATTCGCGTCGCATGAAGCTTTCCTCTTGCATCTCATCAGGCGGAGGCAACATAGGCCCTTCAGATGTGAAAATACCGTCATCATCAGCACCGCCATCGGGAATACCACTACCATCCATCGCAGACCCTCCGAAAGATGTCACGAATTCAGCATTGGGCGCTGACAAACCAAAGCCATAAACTTCCGGGGAAGGCGGGTCGGTATGAATGTCATTATTATTATCGATGTCGTTGTTGTTGCTAGTGGCAATATAACCGAGGTTTTGACTGTAACTGCGGCTGTGATTGTGAGCAATGTGAGTAGTAGTATCAATGGTGATATCATCGGAAGGGAAAGCTTGGGGAGGCGGGAAAGAGGAGGAATCATAGGCTCCCATGTAGGCGGCATCGTGGCCGAAAGTGTGAGGCGAGGAATTAATTTCGTCTCCTCCGTTGTTGTTCATCGAGTTGAAGGACTCCATTGATGATCAAATGGAAGATCCTAAAAACTTTGGTTACGTTGGAAGGGTTCTGTGGCAGTGCGAGGGTTTCAGGTTTGTGCTGTTTTTGCTCAGAATATATCGTTATATTCGGATCCAGAGAGGGACGAGGGAGTTCGTTGGCTTGGCTAATATCAACAAATATATTACCTAGGTGCAATACCCTCAAGATATTTTTAATGAATTTAGCTATTTTTTCGTAATATTTATAGTCGATAATTAGAGATGATATTATTAAAAAAAAACAATCATGAATTTAGAGCATATTCAGTACAACAGACATGAATGATAAAAACAATTGTATGATCCCACCTTGACAATCCCCAAGTGGTTATGTTTTGTGTACTAGATGCTCAGAGTCTCCTAGCTCTATTTCACTTCCATGCCATTCATTGTGATTTTGGAAAAGCAACTCAATCTGTTCCAATGATTTTCCCTTCGTCTCCGGAACAAGTTTGTAAATGAAGAGAACGGAAAGAGCCGACATCAACGAAAACAAGAAAAAGGTTCCGGCCACAGTTATTGTACGGGCGAGAGAGAGGAACGACATGGCAATGAAGCCGCTGCATAACCTGTTACCTACGGCGCCGAGAGCCGACGCTTGAGCTCGTAACCTCAAGGGAAAGATCTCGGATGTCAAGATCCAGCAAACAGGACCCATTCCCACAGAAAAGAATGCAACATTTCCACAAACACACAACAATGCCATTGCAATTCCAAGCTGCCCTTTCCCCAGTATGGCCAAGCTAAGGCTTAAGGTAAACAAACAGACGGTCATTCCAGTTGTGCTAACATAGAGCAAGGGCTTCCTCCCTATTCTATCAACAAGAAATGTTGCAATCAATATAAAAGCAGTCTTTGTGACACCAACCGCGACGGTTGCAGCGAGAATTTTCGAGTTATTCTCGATCCCTGCATCCTTGAAGATTGTGGGGCTATAGTACACAGTTGCATCTATTCCTGTGATTTGTTGGAAGCACTGAATTCCGAAGCCTGTGATCAGCATTCGACGAAGTGAAGGTGAAGGGCTTATTAGTTCACGCCATACGGCCTTCTCTTCATTCTTCTCTCCGTTGGAGATTCCAGCCGCTGCTACTATTTCCGAGAGCCTCTCGTCCACCTCTTTCTCGTTTTCGTTTGTTTTCAATAGCACTGATCTAGCTTCATCGACTCGGTTCTGCATGACCAACCACCTTGGTGATTCAGGGATAACAAAAAGTGCGAATCCGATGAAGAGTGACGGTAAAATTCCAACAGCCAGCATTACCCTCCAGTTTATATGTACCGAAAGACCAGAAAATGCATAGTTGGAGACATAACCAAGCAAAATACCTAGATTTATGCAAATCTCAGGGAAGGAGGTAAGATATCCTCTGTCGACGGTTGGGGATATCTCCGCGATATAGACCGGAGCAATCATGACTCCGAAGCCTATACCGACCCCGGCCAAAACTCGTCCGATCATTAATACTTCAAACGTGCCTGCAAGCGTCATTATAGCTGCACCAATTTGAAACACAACAGCAGCAAAGGCCATTGTCCACTTTCTACCGATGATATCCGATGTCCTTCCACCGGCTAAGCTACCCAAAAGCGAAATGACGCTCAAAATCCCGACGAGAACTTCCTCTTGCACCTCGGATATTTTCAGGTCTTCTTGTATAAATATAATTGCTCCACTCATAACACCTACATCTGCACATACAAAAGAAATTCGGACCCGAAACGTGTTTGAAAACCGGTGTTTTATGTGGTAAACAAGCAAACCAATTAGTTGACAAAGAATTTTGTTCTTAACAATCATAGCAGATTACTTTTGCAGGTAATATGCTCCATGATTCATGAAGATCTGCAATAAAGTTCAAGACTTGAGCCAAAATGGTGGATTTTAAGCATTCACAAAGATGACAATCAACCAGTCAGTTCAGTTAAAGTTTCTCATTTGCAGTTCTACATAAAACAATATCAATGAGAATTTTAACGCTAAATTCCAAGGATTTGAATTAGCCATTCTTTTCCTGCTAAATCATTACAAGAACTAAAAAAAGTCAACTTTTCCCAGAAAGAAAACTCGATGGAGAGAGAGAGAGAGAGAGAGAGAAAAACTAACCATAGCCAAGAAGTACATTGTTGAGAGAAGCAAAAATGGCACAAGCAAGAACATATTTCCTGGTACTTTTCTTCTTCTCCAGTTGATGATGATGATGTGAGGCATCATCATCAAAATCATCAGATAGCTCAGAATCCATCCTCTTGTACTTGTTATTCTTCCCCAAAGACAAACCCATTTCCCCATTCCCATTTTCATGGACACCCACCAACCCCATAGCTCTCCTTCCTCCACAGAAACAGACCCTGAAGAGTTTCCTTTAATGGTCAACAAAGAAGGAATAAGCCATGGGTTTGGGATTTCAGATCTAAAGCCAGGAAAGAAAGATTATAGAAATTCCAATAAGCAAGTGGGTCCATTATTTTATACATTCCTGCAGACCACTTGCTAATTTTCAAAACCTTGCTCAACACATGCAAATGAAAAAAAAAATGGTTTACATCACAACGTTTATAAAGTTCAAACAAAATGTTTTATGTTTTCAAGGTAATAAAGTGTGTAAAATATGCAAGATTCCTACGATTTGTCAGATACGCAAAAGGGACGGTGCAGTTTCGTATGAGCAAACTACTCTCTTTGGCACTATTACACACTACGGACGTTGATCGGCAAATCAGACGTGACTTAAGTTTGGCGCCCTGAATAAACTTAATCATCCAATTACTTTATTCATTAACATTTGGCTTTAGCTCACCGGAAAATATATATGCGTATAAAAATGCTCTGGCTTTGCTTCGTTTGTGTCTCACCGACAGTCCATTTTGTCGCTTTCTATGTATAGGGAGCTCATCAAGAAGAAAAAGGAATAACAAAACGATAGGATGCGGTGAGCGTGGATCAAACATGCAATCTTTATATTTTCAGTTTGACACTCTTCCAGTTGAATTATCCTCGCAATTGATGTCCAAAAGCAAACTAAAATGTATTGTATTATTCAATCAAATATCACCTTTGATCCATTTTAAAGAAAAATGATTTAAATTTTTTTATATTAATTTAATCAATTCAAAATTTTATACAATTATAACTGTAAAAATTATAAACAAAAATTCACAACAGATTAAACCGTCACTATTTTATTTTGATTTTCGTTCTGCACTCCGTAGTAGTAAGATAATGTTTAAACGGTTGGTTCGATCACTGATCGAACCTTAAAATTGAATTAATCATAAATTTTTATAATTTTTTTTAGTTAGATTAATTTGAGTTTAGTTGAAATATTTTTTTCTTTAAGTTAAAATTTAATTAGGCCTTGACAATTTAATAGGTATAGTATGATTAAAAAATAGTTGAGTTTTAATTATTAATGAGTTTGAGCTTAAAATATGTTTTTAATATATATAATATATCGTTATTTAATATTTTCGATTAATTAATCGATTTTTAACGAATTTATTGTTAATCGAATATTGGAAAAAAAATTTCCTAAACAAATAAATTTCGGTGACCAATCTTTTAATTGAGTTAATTTAATTTGGTAAATTAATTCAGTTTAAATCGAGAAGTGAATATCCCTGGTCTGTGATTCTATTTTTCGATTATATTAATTCATTGAACATATGAGAGCATTAGATACCTTGAAATAAAAGCCTAGTATTATTATGGCCCAAGACTAAACCAACCGCCTTTTGGGTTCGTGCTCAACACCGCCTTTCTTAATCTTCGATCACACACACACACACATATATATATATATATATATATATAGATAAGCTATCGGAATAGAAGGAAAGAGCCAATTCCGAATAGAAGACAATGGTGTTCATCGCATCCCCAAATTCCAAAACCATTTCCCTAAATCTAAACCCTAAAACCACCACTCTACTTTCCCTTCAACAATCCATTCAACGCCACACCCAAATCCCAATTTATCACCAACACCTACTCCTTTCTCCGAATTCCCGTTCTTCCATTGCCGATTCCCCGAATCCCGATTCCGTCCTCCTCTCCGAACTCCGCATTACCCCTTACACCACCTTATTCCTCCATGTTCCCCTCCGTGGTGGCACCCAACCTGGCCCCAGCGGTGCCGCCGTTCCCAAGCAGCGCCTAGACTTTCTCAACTCCAAGCCTCCTGCTAACTATGTTGCTGGTTTGGGTCGTGGTGCGACCGGGTTCACCACCAGATCCGATATTGGTCCGGCCCGTGCTGCTCCTGACTTACCCGACCGGTCCGCTACAACTATTGGTGGGGCTGCGGCGCCTTCTGGCGTTGGCCGTGGCCGGGGGAAGCCGGGTGAGGAGGAAGAAGACGATGAAGGGGAGGATAAGGGTTACGATGAGAATCAGAAATTCGATGAATTTGAAGGCAACGATGTGGGTCTTTTTGCCTCTGCGGAATATGATGAAGATGATAAAGAAGCTGACGCTGTTTGGGAAGCCATTGATAAGAGGATGGACTCGAGGAGAAAGGATCGAAGGGAGGCGAGACTGAAGGAAGAAATCGAGAAATACCGAGCGTCGAACCCTAAAATTACGGAGCAGTTCGCGGACTTGAAGAGAAAGTTGCATACTTTGTCAACTGAGGAGTGGGAGAGTATTCCAGAGATCGGGGATTATTCATTAAGGAATAAGAAAAGAAGGTTTGAGAGTTTTGTTCCGGTCCCGGATACTCTTTTGGAGAAGGCGAGGCAGGAACAAGAGCATGTTACGGCTTTGGACCCGAAGAGCAGAGCTGCGGGTGGGACAGAAACTCCGTGGTCTCAAACCCCTGTGACCGATTTAACTGCTGTTGGTGAAGGAAGAGGTACTGTATTGTCTTTGAAGTTAGATAGATTATCGGATTCTGTTTCAGGTTTAACTGTTGTGGATCCAAAAGGGTATTTGACTGATCTGAAAAGTATGAAGATTACTAGTGATGCTGAGATTTCGGATATTAAAAAAGCCAGATTGTTGTTGAAGAGTGTTACACAGACGAATCCGAAACATCCACCTGGCTGGATTGCGGCTGCAAGGTTGGAGGAAGTGGCTGGGAAGATCCATATTGCTAGGCAGTTGATTCAGAAAGGGTGCGAGGAGTGTCCCAAGAATGAAGATGTCTGGTTGGAGGCTTGTAGGCTTGCAAGCCCAGATGAGGCCAAGGCTGTGATTGCTAAGGGGGTGAAATCTATTCCCAATTCAGTGAAGTTGTGGCTGCAGGCTGCAAAATTAGAACATGATGATGTGAATAAGAGCAGGGTTTTGAGAAGGGGTTTGGAGCACATACCGGATTCGGTAAGGTTATGGAAGGCGGTTGTGGAGCTCGCAAATGAGAAGGATGCAGCGACATTGCTTGAAAGGGCCGTGGAGTGCTGTCCTTTGCACGTGGAGTTGTGGTTGGCGCTTGCCAGGTTGAAGGATTATGATAAAGCTAAGAAAGTGCTTAATAGGGCAAGGGAGAAGTTGCCTAAAGAGCCTGCTATATGGATTACGGCTGCAAAGCTGGAGGAAGCTAATGGGAACATTCCTATGGTGGGAAAGATTATTGAGAGGTGTATAAGAGCATTGCAAAGAGAAGGATTTGTTATTGATAGGGAGGCTTGGATGAAGGAGGCTGAGGCTGCTGAGAGAGCTGGGTCTGTTGCCACGTGCCAGGCAATAATTCGAAATACAATTGGGATTGGAGTGGAGGAAGAGGATAGGAAGAGAACTTGGGTGGCTGATGCCGAGGAATGCAAGAAAAGGGGTTCAATTGAGACTGCTAGAGCTATCTATGCTCATGCTCTTACCGTGTTCTTGACAAAGAAGAGCATTTGGTTGAAAGCAGCGCAGCTGGAGAAGAGCCATGGGACTAGGGAATCGCTTGATGCTCTTCTTCGTAAAGCAGTTACATATCGGCCACAGGCTGAGGTTCTTTGGCTTATGGGTGCCAAAGAGAAATGGCTTGCTGGGGATGTGCCTGCTGCTCGAGCTATCCTTCAAGAAGCATATGCTGCCATACCAAATTCAGAGGAGATATGGCTTGCTGCATTTAAGCTGGAGTTTGAAAACCATGAGCCTGAGAGAGCAAGAATACTTCTTGCTAAGGCTCGTGAGAGAGGAGGCACTGAGAGAGTATGGATGAAATCAGCCATTGTGGAGAGAGAATTGGGGAACACTGAAGAAGAGAGGAGGTTGCTTGATGAAGGATTGAAGCAATTCCCATCATTCTTTAAACTGTGGTTGATGCTTGGGCAGCTTGAGGAACGGCTTGATAACTTAGAAAAGGCCAAGGGAGTTTATGAATCAGGTTTAAAGCATTGCCCAAGTTGTATACCACTATGGGTTTCTCTTGCCACACTTGAAGAGAAAATGAATGGGATTGCTAAGGCTCGAGCTGTGCTCACACTGGCAAGGAAGAGGAACCCACAACAACCTGAACTCTGGCTTGCTGCCATACGAGCCGAGGCAAGACATGGCTACAAGAAGGAAGCAGATATCTTAATGGCAAAGGCATTGCAGGAATGTCCAAATAGTGGTATATTGTGGGCAGCATCTATTGAGATGGTTCCAAGGCCTCAACGTAAAACCAAGAGCATGGATGCCCTTAAGAAATGTGATCATGATCCCCATGTTATTGCCGCGGTGGCCAAGTTATTTTGGCATGATAGGAAGGTGGATAAAGCTAGGACTTGGCTCAATAGGGCTGTGACTCTTGCTCCAGATATTGGTGATTTCTGGGCATTGTACTACAAATTTGAACTTCAGCATGGTAGTGAGGAGAACCAGAAAGATGTGATGAAAAGGTGTGCTGCTGCAGAACCGAAGCATGGTGAGAAATGGCAAGCTATTTCAAAGGCTGTGGAGAACTCTCACCAGCTTACTGAAGCCATTTTAAAGAAAGTAGTGGTTGCATTGGGCAAGGAAGAGAGTGCTGCGGAAAACAATGGAAAACAACAGTAAACACTAATTACTTTAAAGGTTATAGATTCTAATAGTTGCTCTTGTACTGAGGGTATTGCCCAATTCGAGAAAATTTGATTTTTCAATAAACTAGGACAGCTGAATCAATTTTGAAGCATGTTTTCTTTGGTTTTGGGCATTACGGTGAAAACTATGTTCTACTTTAGCATGTATACTAGCGTATTGAATCAATTCTGATGCGTGTTCTCTTTACTTTTTGGGCATGTACTGTGAAAATAATGTTATAGAATGATGCTTTAGCATGTATACTGGAGTATTGCCTCATTTTACTTATCATTTTGTCTAGAGATATAACGTTATGATCAATTTAGGTGTTTGGTTTGCTGTGGATATTAACTTTTGTTTAGCTGGATTCCTGATTGTCATATTAGAACGACCTCTGAATGCTCTTCATATGTCACCATAGGTCTGATCTGATGACAGTTCAAAATTATCATTAGG